ACTGCAGGGCCAGTGCTCTATCCACTGTGCCACCTAGCTGCCCCTATGTGTTCTATTTTTAATTATAGTCATCTGTAAATGAACCCTATCCCCCGACTAAACTGAAAGCCTGGGAAAGCAGATTGGGGGTAGATTGTGGAAGGGCTTGAATGACAAACTGAAGACTTTGATCTTCACAGAATCACAGAATTTAGGAGTTGGAAAGGACCTCATAGTCCAATCCATATCTGAAAAAGAATTACATCTACACCATCCCCCAAAAGTGGTCATCGAGTCTCTACTTAGAGAAGTCCAGTGAACATAAACCTTTTAGCTCTTGAGGCAGCCCATACTCTACCTCTGGATTGCTCTGATTGTTAAGAAAATTTTTCTTAAAGGAACAGGCAAAGGATCTGTGTCAGTAAAGGGAACTCCTGGTGTGGGAGATAATATAGATTCATCTTGTCTATGATTTAAAGTGTAAGTCCTATGGAGTTGTTTGAGGGCCTGAGCACCCAACTAGTAGAGTCAGAGGTGAAATTAGAACTCTTTTCTTCCATGACCACCATTCCATCCACTATTCTATGCTGTCTCTTTCCTATCCCTTTACATCCAGCCCAAATTTTCTTCCTCATAACTTCAGCCATCACACCTATTTCTGCCATCTGAGGTCATCAGAAAATGTCAAACTCCTCTTCTACATGACAGCCCTTCAAATAAACTCCATGAAAGTAGGAACTATTTTTCACTTTTGTGTTTGTATCTCCAATGCGAAGTCCAGTGCCTGGTACATAGTAGATGGTTAATAAATTATTTTTCATTCAGTCATTCATTTACTTATCCCTCATTTCCTTCCACCAATCTTCCTATGGCATCTAAAGATTTGGAGGATATTCACCATCTTACTAGCCCTCCTCTGGATTCTTTCCAGATTATTATTCCTAAAATGTGGGATCCCGAATTGAAGAGAAGATTCCAGATGTGGTCAGACCAGGGCAGAGGACAGCAGGATTGTACCTTCCTTGGTCTTAGACACTTTGCCTCTCTTAATATAGCCCAAGATCACATTAGCTTTAGGAGTTTCTCTATCATGATGTTGATTCCTATTGAGATTTCAGTTCAGTAAAGCCTCAAGGTCTTTATCAGAGGAACTGCTACCAGACACACCTCCCCCATCTGGCACTTGTGATATTGATTTTTTTGTACCAAAGTGTAAGATATTACATTTATCCCTATTATATTTTATCTTCTTAGATTTGGGCACCATTCTAGCCTGTCAAAATCTCCTGGGACTCCGATTCCCTCATTTAGTGTGTTAGTTATTACTGCTTGATTTATTCCATTTGCAAATTCAATAAGGCATACATGTTATCCAAGCCTGCATCTAAGTCACTGATTTAAAAAAAAAAAAAAGGCAAGTTAAACCAACCCAAGCAAAACAGATTCTTGGGACATTTCCACTAGAGATAATGTAACATCAATTAGGTTCAACCAGCATTTACTGATTTGTTGATAACTACTCTTTGCGTCTAGTCATTCAACCAGTCTGGAATCTGCCCAACTATGCTATAATCTAACCCATATTTCTAAGTTTCGTTCAACTAGAATAGTTTGAGTGATTTTATCAAGTACTTTGTTAAAATTTAAGTGGATATCTACAGAATTTCCCTGTTGTACCAGGCTACCAGGCCTGTCTCCCTCTTTCAGAGGATGTTTCTGCAGCACATTTCATCTCTGTGAAGAATTTAGAAGGTTCTGGCAGTTCTCACAGGGAAATAGTTGTAAAACACCGGGAAGTGATGACATCCACATGTTGGCTCACAGGTCTTGGGTTCCCTTTTCCTCCTGAGAAACTTCCTATCTCACCATGCTGAGCCTCATACCACTATAGTGATTGGACTGAGATTTGGGGATTGTCACTTTTGGGCTATGGCAGCCATAATTCGCTACATCCAGATTCTGGTGGGAGAGCCAAGTCTACAACCTCCCACACCCAGCAGCATGTCAAATACTGGAGCAAAACGTGGAGGTGAGGAAGATCATGAAATACTCCACAGAAGTGGAAAAACCGGGCCTGGCTGTGACTGAAAATCCAATTGCCTACTGAGATGGAAGTCAATGGAGATGTTGGAGGCTGTCTCCTCACATGTCTGCAGCTTCCCTTTCTCAAAGTCCTCCCATCTCCAGAAGTTCCTTTTTACACTCAGTGTTGCTGCCCAGTGTTCTCTTTGTCAATAAGTTGTCAAGTCCCCTTATACATACACTGTTCTGAGAACCTTGTAGCACCCTCATAGGGCTGTCCTTCAATGCACCACCCAAAAGTCAAGTCAAAAAGCAAATATTTATGAAGAATATCTATGTGCCAAGCTCTGTGATACATTATGGGGATATAAAGAAAAACAAAAACAATGCCTGCCCTCAAGGAGCTTACAATCTAATGATAGGGGAGGAGAGAAGAAAACATGCAAACAAGTATGTGCAGATAGGATATATACAGTATAAACAGGAAATAATCAACAGAGGGAAAGCAATAGACTCATGGGATTTTAGCTAAAGACTTAAAGGAAGCTGGGGAAGCCAGGAGGTGACTCTTGTTAGGTGTTCTTCATCTTAGGCCAGAAAGAAGCCTTTCATTCCTACACTTTTAGACATGGTTCAGATCTACCTTTCTCTTTGGGAGTGTTTGGCTTTGATAGGCAGCAGTAATGAAAATACCACCTGCATTCCTAAAGTCTTCAGTTTCATGCACAAGATTTCTGAACGTAAGGGGCAAGCAATGGCAGCCATTACTCACAAGTGTAGCAGGATGGAAGTGGTATTTTAGCAATGTTATTCTGCAGTAGTATTCAAGACTGATTGGAAGGAAGGGAGCAGAAGCAGAATGATCAGGTAAGGGGGAAGCTGCAATGGTCTGGTTGTGAAGAATTCAGAAAATTCAATAAATTTTAATAAATACCTTTTGCAAAACACTACTAGTCACTGGAGATACAAAGATGAAAAATAGCACGGATCCTACCTTCATTGACCTTATCATGTCATAGATAGAATATACGTACATTTCAGCTGGGAGTGAGGAAAAATTTCAAGAAACTTGGAATAGAGTGGTGGCAATGAGGAGGGGAAGGAAGGAAGAGATACTGAAAACATTAAAAAAATATATCAATAGGATTTGGTGACTGACTTGGGATGAAAGAGGGGAGTGCCATTCATAGACATGGAGAGGTCAGGAGGGTGAATGGATTGAGGAGGGAAGATGCATTTATTTTTGGACATGTTAAGTTTGAAGTGACCGAGGGACAAATGAATGGAGATGGCATTTTGAGAATCAAATCTGGACTTGAGAAGAGAGGATGGGACTGGAACTAAAGATATAAAAGACCATGAAGTCCCCTATTTGCAGTTTTAAACTGGAGTTAGTCTGGGACTTAAGAAGGAAGATCTGTCATAGTGCTAAGGGTGAGGGATAGAATTCCAAGAAGGAGAAAAAGGGTGAGAGATAGAATTCCAAGAAGGAGAAAAAAAATCTCTCATTCCATTCACTTTCTCCCTGACTTTCTCAAGGTATATTTTTTATTCCATTGACTACCTTGTTTGACTCTTTTTGTATGCCAAATCTGATTTTTTCTGCCTAGATCTTAGTTTTTTTCTCCCCGTCTCTCTGTCTTTTTGTTTCTCTTTTTTTCCCATCTATTTCAGTCTATTTATTTTGTCTTTCTATCCCTTCTATCTTACTGCTTTCTCATTCTGAGTATTTCTGTAGTTTTTTAAAAATTTTATTTAGTATTTTATTTCCCCAGTTACATGCAAAAACAATTTTTAACATTCATTTTCAAAACTTTGAGTTCCAGATTCTCTCCCTTCCTCTCCCCCACCCCCTCCATTGAGAAGGCAAGCAATTCGATATAGGTTATACATGTGTTGTCATCTGCAATTTTTTCTTACCCTGAGAATAATCTTTCCACTTCAACAACCTTTCCTCTGTCTTCCCACTTCCCTCCAATAGTTTAGCAGGGTCCCATGAAGTACTTTTATACTGATGTGCACCCACCAAAGGGTTCAGAAGGGGTAGACACAAATGTGGTAGTTGAGGTGCTGGCATCCCCAAGTGGGATCCCCTTTCCCCTGACCCCATTCACCTCTTCCATGTCCTAGTGTATCTATGGTGGTGGGGGGGGGCGGGGAAAGAAGGGGACCAGAGAAACGAAGGTGAAGCAGTTGGTAAGGATGATGATAACAATACTAATATTCAGCACAGAACAGCCTTGCCCCCTGGACAAGCCTAAAGGGGCGTGGCTTGCCCATATTTGCATATGCATACGACTGGCCTGAGCATAGCCTAGGAGGTGGAGCCTCTGGGGGTGGGAAGGGGGCGGACCTCCCCCCCCACGACAAAGCTGCCTAGTATATAGCGCAGCAACCGCAGCCCCCGTTCCCTCACTGCTGAGAAGCTGAGCCTTCACCCTGCGACCCCCGCCCTAAGTTCTTGACTGCTTCCCGCACAGCTGCGTCCTCCTTCCCAGTACCCCTACACCCGCAGCATTCAGCCGCCGCCACCTTTGCCTGCCTCTTCCTTTCACCAGGGGCTCTGTGCGTCGTCGCCCCTGCTGCTGCCTTTGCTTTCCACAGCTCTAACTCCAGATTTCGGGGACCCCCCTCCTTACTCCACGCCGCTTCTTCGCACCCCACCTTTTTTTCCATCCTCGTCGGGTCGCTTATTTTACAACCACTGTTGCTTCTCTGGGCTATTTTTGGGGTCATCGCTGCACCCCCGCCTTTGGGCTTTGCTCTACTCCACTCTGCGTTGACTGCACCCCCTTTTCGTTACCTTTAGTTCTGTGCCTAGCGCCTTTTTTCTCCATCTCTGCTGTAGCCTCTGGTGCTCCCGCTTCCTCCATAGGGCATCGCACCCAAGAATCCAAGGCAAAGCCTCGGGCCAGACGGGCTTGGCTCCCTGGGGGTCTTCCTAGCCCATTGCGCATCGGCTTTACCGAAGGTCCCCCCCATCCACCGCCGCTACTAGCGCCCCGCCTTCCCGCTTCTCGTCCCCCTTCTCCAGGCCTGCCTAGCCCCCCGCCCCAGAGCCGCAGAAATGGTCAATGAAAAGGAGAAGACCGGTGGACAGGTGTTGGAAGAATGGAAAGAGTTCGTGTGGAACCCGCGGACTCACGAGTTTATGGGCCGTACCGGGACCAGTTGGGGTACGAGATGGGGATCAGGGGTCTGGGTCTCTGAAGACAAAACGAGCGAGGGAGGGGTGAACCGGATGCCTGGGTCCCAGAGGACAGCGGGGTCTGGAAGAGACAAGAAAAACGTCTGCCTTCCTGGCCCAATGGGGAGAAGGGGATTGAGTTGGGGGTTGCAGAGAGATCCACGATTAGGCCGACCAGCCTGGTCCCTGCTTGGGACCCTGACATCCAGTTCTTTCCCCGCTGGGGCTCTGGGCTTTGGGAGCTGTATTCGTTGGGTCTAATCTTCCCGGCTGCTGCGGAGGTGGAGAAAGTAGGTCACGGCTGCCTTCCCACCCCCCATGGAGCCCCCACAAGCTGGGGTCCTCAGCGTTCACATCTTTTTTTCTCTCAGTGGATTACTTCTAAAATGTTTTTCTCTTTCCTTTCCCCCCCCCCCCCCCGCAATCCCATGTATCTCTACCCATCATTTATGAAGGAACCCACCACCAAACCATGTCTATTTTTAGATCGAGCCCCACTCCATAATTCCTAAGTATTCATGAGTGGGCAGGTCCTGGATCACATGCTGGTTCCCCTTGGTCCAGAGAGAGTTTCTTGTCAGGGTTTGGTGGTGGAGATGATCTTCCTATACAGTTTGTATCTAGCCCAGATTATTTTAGACATGTGATGTGGACAGAAGGTGCTGGAAAGTAGGGGGTTAGGGTTGGAGTTGAATTGCCTGTGATTCTGAAATCAGATATTTGAGCCTTTTGAAGTGGAAGGGCAGTTGAGTTTGGATTGTGGGATTTGGCTGCTTGTGTCGAAGTGTGAGCTTGTGGTGGGAGGTATGGTCATTGAGTGTTGGGACATGCATATATCACTCAGTTGGGGTGGGCTTGAAGGACTGTAGTAGTATCAAGTTGGGTCACCCTTCTTGGCCTTAGGCTTTACTGCTATATTACTTGAAATCATTTCATGAGAGCAATTTGGGATCTAGACCTCCTTAGGTCTATTGATCAAGGAAACTGAATAGACTTAAGTCTTGGTGCCTCCTGAGTTGAGTGATTGTGAGATTATTTGACTCAGAATAAGATTGTGGAATTTGGATAGGTTTGGGAGGGTAGAGTTGTTACCTTTGTGTAGTTGTCAACAGCAGAATTTATTGTGTGCTTTTGGGAGGTTTAGGAGACGCTCATATTCTGTAAGGTTGTCTTGCATTTTGGAACCAGTAAAAAAAAAAACAATCAGTGATTTTGTGGCACCATCAATCATTATGAAGTGCCTAAGCACTATTGTTAGCTTATTCCTTTGGTACAGATGAAATTGTTCATTCAAAAGTGTGACTGAGGAATGAGGAGGAGCAGGAGGAGTGTAACTGGTGTAGAGTGAATTTTTGTGATACGTGTACATGTGTTGAGGGAGTTGTGCAAGGCTGTTGGGCTCTGAGCATTTTTTGCATTTGTGGCCTGGAGTGGTATTTTGGAAAAGTTGCAAGATTGGGTTGTAGGGCTGGGATGTGTTACATAAACCTGTTCATGCCATCCTCGGAATTATACATGACTCTGTTGTGCCTTTCTTTTTGAGGGGAGGCTTTCTGAGGTTTGCACTCTAGCAAGATGGCCGCGCCTTTTCCAGAGGGTTGTGGTAGCAGCAAAAGTGGCAGTCAACAAGTATTCAGGCTTTACTATGTGCCAGGAGCTGGGTCCATTGGTCTTGTGGGTTCTCTAGAATTGTGTTGTGCTGGCTTGATGTGCGTCCATAGGGCTCTCTGATTGTCCACCACAGCTTTATGTATAATATGAACTTGTGCTTCATGTTGGGAAGCTGGTGGGGTTGTGTGTGGGGGTGATTTTGTTGCTGATCTGTAAGCCAGCAGGGAAGGAGGAAGAGCAGAGCCGAGTACAGCAGGGAGTCAGGGGCTGGGGCCAGATGCTTATGTCTTGGGTGACCTTTGAGGTCTCTTCCAACATCAGTCTTTTAACCCTTGCTTCCCCTTTATAGCCTTCATCCTCCTCTTCTACCTCGTCTTCTATGGGTTTTTAACTGCTTTGTTCACCCTTACCATGTGGGTCATGCTGCAGACCGTCTCAGACCACATTCCCACATACCAGGACCAGCTTGCAACACCGGGTAAGTAAATTTTCCTTTTCTCACCCCAGGGTTAGAAAAAGTGGTCACCCCACTTGACCACCCTCCTGAGATCTGCCCGATTCCATTGGAAATTGTGTTTACTAGGAAGGGTGATGGCGGTAGAGCAGTCACAGTCCCATGGAGATGCCTGTTTTTAGGATTGACCTCCCTCAGCCCTCACTTGAAACTTGGAGATTTCCCTTAGCTAAGTTCCTCTTGATTCTTTTGCCTCTGTATCTCATGTTCCCTGCACCCCTCACTTTTTTAGGCTTGATGATTCGTCCTAAGACAGAAAACCTTGAGGTTTTGGTCAACCTCAGTGATACCAAGAGCTGGAACCAGCATGTGCAGATACTTGATAAATTCCTGGAGCGTGAGTGTGGGGTTTGGGTGCTCAAGTTCCTGAGGGAAGGGGCAAAGGTATCTTCATGAGCTGGGATGGGCAGACAGACGTCAGGTCCACAGCTTTCTTTACTCCTACAGCCTACAATGACTCAGTCCAGGCCCAGAAGAATGATGTCTGCCGCCCAGGGCACTATTATGAACAACCGGACAATGGGGTTCTCAACTATCCCAAGCGGGCTTGTCAGTTCAACAGGACACAACTGGGTGACTGTTCAGGGCTTAGTGACCCTACCCACTATGGCTACAGCACTGGCCAGCCCTGCGTCTTTATCAAGATGAACCGGGTACTACAGGCAGTTGGGTTCCTTGAAAGAAAGCATTGGGGCTTGGGTGGTGGTAGGGTGGGAGAGAACCACAGCTGTCAGCGGTCTCTTAGAACAGTTAGTTCCTCTGCCAATTCCTTTGCCCAGGGACTAATGGAAACCGTGGTTTCTTTGATTTTTTTGGCTCCCCAAAGGAAAATAGGGGCTTTGGGGAAGGGGGGTGTGTGTGCGCATGTGCGCGCGCGCATGTTCACGTGGAAGACAAGCTAGGGGATACCTGACATTACCTCTCCCTGCTCTTTCCAGGTCATCAACTTCTATGCAGGAGCCAATCAGAGCATGAATGTTACCTGTGCAGGGAAGGTAAGATTAGATAACTTCCAAGTTGTCCCTGCCCTTATTATGGTTCCTATCATTTATCTTTCTCTTTTTCTTTCTCTCAGAGGCCTCGAAACTACAGGGACAAGGGGGTAAGAGAAGCTAGTGGCTAGACTGAAGGGGAGTCTTAGATGTTTCAGGTTGGCCTGGACCCTAAGGTGCTTCCACACCTGCTTAGTCTTTGATTAGGATTGAGTAAAGACAACCCCCTTCCTAAAGCCTAAGCTTATTAATGTCATTAATTTTTCTTCTTCCTCCTCATTCTCCATTTCTTTTTCTGCCCCTACTAGCTTCTTCAACTTTTTTTAGCAACTAAGTAGATAATGGATGCCTATTCTCTATCCACACCCATTTACTTAGGGATTGCTCCCCCCCCCCCCCCCCCCCCCCCCCCTTCCTTTTGCTTGTTGCCCTCTCACATCTTTATTCTTTTTTGGCTCTGCTCCAGAATGGCTTCTCTGAGGAAGGGGTAAGAGCTTCAGGAGTGGGTGGGGAGGGTAGAAAGTTAGTTCCATCCTCACTGAAAGGGAAGCCATCTCAGTCTGACAGATACATGATCTCCTAGTCTGTTGGAAGAGACTAGGTTCTTTCACTTAAGGCTTCTGATAGGGGAGACAGGATATGACACAGTACACAGATATAAAGAGAAAAAAGAACAGGTTACAACAAAAGGCTCCAAGACAGATTATTACCTCAGTTAATTTAATTTGCATTTTTCTAATCAATAGTGACTTAGCATTCTTTCATGTGATTATTGATAGCTCTGATGTTTTTTCTTCTGAAAACTTCCTGAGGCAAAGATTTATTTTGCTGGTGGAGAAGACTCAGCCCTGTGGGTTTATCCCCGGGGGTTGCTTGGGTCTCTGATCTCTAATGATACCATCCCCTGTCATTCATTCTCCAGCGGAATGAGGATGCCAAAAATCTCGGTGACTTCACTATGTTCCCTGCCAATGGCAACATTGACCTGATGTATTTTCCCTACTATGGCAAGAAGTTCCATGTAAGTCCAGTGGGGGTTGGAGTAGGGTTGGGATCCCCCCCTTCAAGGGTGGTTGCTTAGTTTCCTGAAGGGAACTGGGTTTTCTTGGGATTGGGGAGAACCCCAAAAGCAAGGGTTGAAGTTAGATCTTGTGGTTCCTTCACCTACTTCTCTATACACCTCCACAGGTGAATTATACACAGCCTCTGGTGGCTGTGAAGTTCATGAATGTGACCCCCAACGTGGAAGTAAATGTTGAGTGCCGAATTAATGCAGTCAACATTGCCACTAATGATGAGCGTGACAAGTTTGCTGGCCGAGTAGCCTTCAAACTCCGAATAATAAAAAAGACCTGAGTCTACTCACTGCATCCCTCCTTGTCCCTCTCCCTGTCTCCCCCAGGGCTTTATGGAATGTGCTTTCTGGATGCTCCTTCCCTGCCTGATGTCTTTTCCCTGCCCCTCCCCAACTCCCTTCTTGCCCCAAAGGTATTTTTTACAACAAAGCTATAATTCCATCCACTCCTTCTCAACTCCCATCCCTGTTGGGTGGTAGCCATTTTGATTCCCTGGAAGAATACCCTCTTCCACTGTTGGTATGCGAGAGGTTTAGAGCAGGGAGGCCATCTTTGCCCCTTTCCTGACAAGTTGGTTTCCAATGCCATCCAGGTACTTGTATGGCTACTGGTGAAATACTCTTACAATTGCCCCACTTCCCTCTTTTTTCTTATTTTTATGGACTCAACAAATGTTTTCTTAGTTTCCCTGGTAGTGGTGGTGACAGTCTGTCCTGTCAGTGAGGGCCACTCTTCTGATTACAAACCTATCTCTCCTTTCCCTTTCCCCATCCATCTTAGTGACTTGGAGATAAGATATTTGGGAACCTGTCTCTTGGGCCCCCCCTTTCTCCCAAATTTAATAATCCTGCTGTCCTCTTTAGGTGGTCATTTTTGAGTTGAAGATGGGGTTTGTCCAACTTCTTTTTCCCTCATCCATTTTCCACACTCCATATCTTACTGAAGCCTTTAAATTGTCATCTCTAGGTCCCCTTGTTTTTCCAATTCCCTAACCCCTTCTCCATATGGTGGATGTCTGAGCTGAAAAATGGGGTGTCTTCTCCCCTCCCTTGGGCTTTAAAGCGGGGTATTTAAGAAGAGGGATGCCATTTTGTTCCTTGACCGGAAATTCACAAACTCTGTCCCTACCTCATTCCTTTTGATACTTTCCATAACCTGGTGTCTGCTGCTCCAAAAGACACTGGGACATAATATTTGGTCAATTTTATCTCTGCATAATTTCCTTATAAACATTTCCCACCTCCCACCCCCAGCTCCACTTTCCAGTGCTTTGGGTGGCCATCTTGAACTGACTTTGTCCCCACTGGCCACCTTGGAAACCTCATCTGGCCATGGTAATATGTCACCTTCTTTCTGTGCCCCCCAGTATAGTTTTTCTTAGCAAATCATTGGCTAATTACTAGCACTCGTTTTCCACTTAACATCAACCTGAAAGTTTTAAGTTCCCCTCTGAATTTGAAAATGGCTCCCCTCTCCAAACCTCCTCGCCTTTTTAGCCCTGTAATTCCCATAACGTGTTTAAAGAGACCCCTGCTCAGAAGTATTTTTTTAATCACAGAGGTGTTTTAATACTTCCTTTCCTCCTTTCCATCCCAAATTTATTCCCTATTAATGCTGCACTCTCCTTCCTTGGATCTGTCCCTTTTCTCTTGAACTCAGGCAAAGCCTGGGTTCAAATCCTGCCTTTGATACTTACTACCTGTGTGACCATGGGCAAATTTCTTAATCTTTTTTGAGCCTCAGTTTCCTCATCTGTAAAATGGGGATAATACCTGTAGTACCTATCTCACAGGGTTGTTGTGAGGTTAAAATGAGATAATGTATGTAAAATGTTTCAAAACATAACTAGATATATAAATGTCAACTCTTATTCTTTCACCCACCTCTGTTCCCATTTCCCCTTACCTTGGACCCCCAGAGGTCTGGTCTCTACAGTTATTTAATGCCTGTGTCAGATCTACTGTAAAAGATAAAAGTACAATACAATGAGAGATTATATACATATATACATATACATATTATATATATATCACACACCCAACTTGTCTTGTGTCTTGTATCTTTTTCTGTGGTTTTAAGGGAGAAATGGGATGCCTACAGGGAGTAGGTGAACTAAGGCCAATTGTTCACCTAGGGCCAGCTCTTCTAGATTATCTAGGCCACTGGTTCCTGACTTTGTGCCTCGTGAAACATTCCTATTCCTTAGCCTCTCTAACTTGCCCTTTGCAGAGTCCCTCAATTCAGCGATATTAATGGAATAATTTGTGTGGTGCCTACCATATATACTGGATCTGGAAAGTGTACATTTCACTCAATCCAATTCAAAAGAAGGGTAGAGGGGTAACTCGGTGGTGCAGTGGATAGAGCAGTGGCCCTGGAGTCAGGAGGACCTGAGTTCAAATCTGGCCTCAGACATGCAATACTTGCTAGCTGTGTGATGCTGGGCAAGTCACTTAACCCCAACTGCCTTACTTAAAAAAAAAAAAAGTGACAGCACAAAGAATACCACCTCTGGAGTCAAGGGGCTTGGGTTTGGAATCCAGTTCTGCCAATGCTTTTGGTTAGACTAGGCCAGCATCCATGTGGGAGTGATTGGTGGAATTCTAAGTAATCAGCTTTTCTAGTGTAGTGGGAGACAGAACCAAAAACACTGAACATTGGGAAATGTAAGGGTGTATAAGGGAGGTCAGGTAGTGATCTTGCCTTAAAAGACTCAAAAAGATGCAATGTCTTGCAAAAGATGCATGTCTCCCAGACTCAACAAAGTACTGATGGTGGCAGGGGACTCTTGTACGGCTTAGGCATTTGGCTTTAATTTTTGAAGTCTCAGATTTAAGGGGGTCAGCAGATTCCTAAGGTTTTCCCTATGAGAATCCAGAGTTCATGTGCAGCAGCAGGATACTGTGTCCAAGGGATCTGTTCTGTGGGGCGGTGTTCTTTGGTTATGGATTCTGAGGCCTAGTTATACCCAAAGCTCTAGAGACTAGACATCGATCTTGACCACTTAGGTGGTCAGACCTAGGGAGGTCCCCCTCTCTTTTAAGATGCAGGGAGGAGAAATCTAGCACTGTAAGCTGGATAACTGGGGGAGGAGGGGAATCCTCTTTGTTGCTGTAGTCTCCCCAACAGTCAAAGTTGGGAACCGAATGGGGAAACACTGAGCCTCCCCCCTAAACCAACCCTGCCCTCCCATCCCCAAAAAAGTCTTTTCAAAGGTTTTCCTGGCAGAGTTTAAAGCTTCAATTCATCTAATCGCCTGGCATTCGGCCCAGCCTGAAGAGATGCCAGATTCCTTCCCTGCCCCCATCCTAGCTCCCAGCTCTCACCTCAGCTGCCCCTTTACTCTGTGGGTACACTGGGACAGAAGTCCCCCAACTCCTGCCTCTCAACAGTCCCCACTCTCCTCCCTGGAATCTTGCAGCTCCATTGTTCCCATCCCCCACGCTCCTGGGGAGCAGATGGCTACCCTAGCTGCCTAGATTTGCTAAATTGGACCCTTAAATCCCATAATCCTTGAGGAAAGGCAGATGAAGGGACAGTAGTTCCATCCCTGGGGAAGTAAAAAGGGCAGAAACCGTGAGTCCCTCCCCTCTAGTCTTGCCCTGCTGGGGAAGGGGACAGTGGAGAGGACCTAGAGTTCTGAATAGGACTAGGGGGGAAGGGTATGAATAAGACAGCCCCCCTCATTGTCATGCAGTCCGCAGACTGACCCAGTCCCCATGCTTTGTTTCACTCCTGGAACTAGGAGCCTGTTCCCTCCCCTTCAAGCCCCCCCCCCCATGGTTCCTTCCCTCTGCTCCCCCCAGAGGCCCCTAGCATTTTAGCATCATCAGATGGACAACTAGTATTAACTCTTTATTTGAAAATAAGAAATTCTATAAAAATAGCAAAAAGGTACAAAAAAAGGGGTAAGAGTTTGTAGGAGAAAATGAGGAAGGAGGAATCTGTGAGGGTGGGCAAAGTTCACCTCGCTTTAGTGTGTTCCTGAGAATCTAGGGCTAGAACTGGGGTTCTTAACTATTTTTATGTCAAACCCCTTTGGCAGTTTGGTGAAACTTACCGCTCCCTTCTCAAAATGTTTGTTGCCTACATTCATCATGAAAGGAAATGCTAAATAGAGGTGAGTGAAAATAAAACTTCAGAGTCTAGCTTAAGGCTAGAGGGTACAAAACATTTTGGTAGAAGTACATTCCAATAAGCATTTCAGAGTCTAAATCCTGGGGGTGGGGAGAAGATGGCTCATTTTATCACAGATGTCAACGCATCAACAACAATTTGTGACTACCCACTTTCCTGACTTCTGTCACCCTCCCCCACCTTACCAGGAACACATACCTAAGTGAATGTACACACACACTTTCCAAAATGGCAGAAACACATGTAACAGTTTCAAGAAACCATCATGGCTCTAAGCAAGGCCTCTAGTCTACAAAGGCAGCATATCTGAACGGAAGCATACCCATCACTTTTGGAGTTCTGGGTGTAAATCCTGTCTCTCACTATCCGTGACCTTGGTAAGTCACTCTCTGGGCCTTAATTTCCTCACCTATAAAACAAGGGGGCCTCTTCCCTCAGTTTTAATTCTGTGATTCCAATGCTCCTAATATTTTCATTCAGAATACTTTTCTCAGGTAGTACTAGCCCCTCTTAGAGACGCTAAAGTGAGGGAAGGCAGCTAGGTGCTCAGTAGACATAAAGTGGTGCCTGGAATCAGGAAGACCTGAGTTCAAATTGGCTTTAGGCACTTAGTAGCAGTGTGACCAAGTCACTTAACTTCTGTTTGCCTTAATGCACTGGAGAAGGAGATGGCAAACCACTCCAGTATTTTTGCCAACAAAACCCTTTGGACGGTACTGGAGTGCTATGGTCCAGGGGTCGTGAAAAGGCAGACGACTGAACAATAAAGCGAGGGAGCACAGCCTAGTGGAGAAAGGCCTCCTTAATTTATCTGTTTTAGCAAGGAACACCTTAATATTGTCTGAGGCTTACACATTCAAGCTGGAAGAAGGGGGAAGGCTAAAGATTGGGAATCTTAGAGGACAGGTTGTACATGGGAAATAAGAAACAGAGGGTTTCTGGGGTGGGGGTAGATATGTTCAGTCGGAGTCAGGAACTTCACTTTTCACCAAAAGTCTTTTGCCTTGAGAAGGGGTAGAATCTCCTTTCTTGGACTTCAATTGGCTGTAGGAAACACATAGTTTAGAGGAGATAAAGCTGGGAAAACAGTCACAGAAGCTTATTTAATAAGCACTTGTTAACCATCACCTGTGTGCCACTAAAAGCAGGACACATGGTCTCTGACTTCAACTAGACTTGCAATGTCACTGGGGTGCTCACATGAAACTCTAAGGGAGCATACAAACAGGATGAGCATAAATGCTGAAGGAGTTTAGTCCAAGGGAAGATCCTTATGGGATGGGTTTTATCAAGGCTATTTTCATCTTTGCCAGCTATACCCTGACTCCCACTGCCAATCACCGCCCCCTCCACCTCCGGACAATTGTGGCCAGGGTGGCAAACCCATGACATCTTTTTCCTCAGAGATCTCTCAGCCAAAGGTCAGAACTTCCTGTATGGGTAGGCTGGCTGGCAGGGACTTAACTTGGAAGGCAGCAGGCGCTGGCCTGGGATACCTACCTGCGGTGGGGACAGCTCCCCTCAGCTTCTTTCCCACTGTGAGCATCTTTCAGTTCCAAGGCTTCATTCAACTCCCGGAACAGCTCATAGCGGTGGCGACCCCGGATCTAGGTGTTTGTAGGAAGAAGTGAAGAAGATGATGATAGACACATAAAGAAGATACTTTAAATTCTGAAAACCTATTTGATTGTTGTTCTAGGCACAAGTCACCAGAGTAAAAGGTGGATTTTATAACTATTAAATTCTATAAAGGGGGGAGTACTTAATGTATAAACCCTGTTCCTATATTTAAATTCCACTTGGTAAAAGAATAAATGGCTAAAAATGTCTGAGTTCAAATCTGGCCTTAGACACTTACTAGCTGTGTGACCCTGGGCAAGTCACTTAACCCTGACTCCAAAATAAAAAAAAAAAAGCCTGTTAGAAGAGGCAATAGTTCTCTTTTCTTTGAGTAGAAAGTTACTTCCTTTTGACTAGAATAAAAGTGGTTTGCATGGAAAAATACCTCCACAAACTATCACATTGGTATTTTTATTTTGTTTTGAGCCAGTCTAGGGCAGCTTCTGTTAATGAGGTGGGAGCAAAGTTCCCGTGCTAAGGAAATTCATTTCACAAACACTTACTGAGCACCCAAGGGTAAGGCCTATCCTGACTAAGGAAGAGGGGCTATATATATTTGAGCTTAGGTCAAGTCGTAGAAGCCCTTGTCTGTCATTGAAAGCTTTGGTCCAAAGTTAACAGACTCAGTAACATTACCATCAAGCCTATTAAGAATTAGTTGAGAGGTGTCATGTCTTATGTGTTTTGCATTGTACTCGACTTCCTCCCAAAAACCTAATGCCTAACTATTGCTATTTGATTAGAGTCACAACTTCAATGCCCTTCTCACTCAATGCCAGCTAAATGTGTATATTTCATTTCTTGATTCTCATCGACTGGCATCTGAAAAGACAATAACAACTGTTTATGTGCAGTTAGGACTTGGCCTTATCAACAGTCTCTGAAACAGCTCTATTTTTATGAAAAAGGGAAAAGCATTGGCAGACTCTTGATTTCAGGTCTACTGTTAGCTAGGATGGAGTCACAAGCACCACCTGGTGGCCTTATTTCCTAACTGCAGGCAAAATACAGGTAGGAAAGAAGGAAAAACCAACCTCACTCAGTGCTGGCTTTATAAACAACCTAACACATATAGTGATATAATTACTAAGGTTTACAAAGCTTTTCTCCTTGAGTACTCATGTAGGACAACTACTGTTGATGAAGAAACTGTAGGTCAGAGGAATTAAATGACTTGCCCATGATTACACAACTAATCCAAGCTGCAATCCAAACTCAAATATGTTTCCTTACTCCAAATTCAACACTTTTCATTTCAAAACCAAGAAAGAGCAAGGGGGCAAACCCTGAAAGACTGAGGCCAGCCAAAAGACAGAGCTATTCGTGATTTCCTTCCGCTCCTGGACAATAGCAATGGGGTGGGTTGGTGTGATTTACCTAGATTCTCACCTGTTCTACCTTTGATCACCTAGTGTTCTGATCTGGAAAGGGCCACAGACTTGCCAGTAAGAGGGTTAAAGAAGAACCTTGGGTATGAAGTGAAAAGGCAGGATTTATCTAATTTATCATACCTGCAGGGTGAAATATTCTCCATCCACTAACTTCTTTTTAGCCTTGGGGGTGCTAGGAGTTGTGGGCAAGGCTGGAAGACACAGATGAAGGCGAGTCAACAAGTGACTCCCATTTTTATTAGGCTGCCTCCCCAGCCCCCAGTCACCCTCAACCCAATCTCTTCCCCACCCATACCCCGCTTATTGCTCTCAGAGGATGGTTGTGGGTTGTGACCTCCCTTCTTGCGGAAATTTTCCTCTTCAGTCCTCCGGTCTCTTCCAGGACAGGCACATACACGTACTTCAAAGCTTCGACGTCCAAGAAGCTGACCGCTAAGGAAGAGATGGGGTAGAGGATTGAATATTCATGTCTGCCTCCTAATTTTCTTTATTCATGTTCCCCCTTACACCCCCCCCCCCAAAAAAGGAAACATAGGTATAGGCAGCAGAAGAATCACAGGTCAAAATGTACCTTAAGTCAGAGAAATTGGAGGTGGGATGTAAGAGAAGAGTGAAGAGGAAATCTGAGTGGATGAATATGTTAGTGTGGGTGGGGAGGATGTCTGGAAAGTTAGGAACTTAAAAAATCATTAATGGTTTTTTATTTGGTGCAACTCTCATAAAACAGCTTATGACAAAGTTCAAATATAGGGCATCCAAAAAGTCTCCAACGCTATTAAGGTTTGAAACTGCACTAATAAGGGAGTTGGTAAAGATTGATTATGTTTTTTTCTAATTCAGTTCAATAAACATTAATTAAGCGTTTATGTACAAGGTATCATGGTAGGCAACGGGGATACAAAGATGAAAAACAACATTTCTTGCCCTCAAAAACTTTAACAAGGCAGAATTTGAGCTCTTGATTAAGTGCTATGAGAAATTTGTGGAACAAATTATTCCTAGCTGAGGGGATAACAGCTGAGTTGGGTCAAGAGGAGTTAGCTTTGAGGGATATGAGGAGCCACAGGGAGAATGGAGTAGGTAGTTGGACTCTGAAGACTGAGAAGAAGACACAGACAGAAAGAATGAGAGAGACAGAGACAAAGAGAGACAGAGACAGAGAGACAGAGAGAGAGACAAAGAGAGACAGAGACAGAGAGAAAGAGACAGAGAGAGATCAGAGATTCTTTGACTGGGGAGAGCCCACAGGGGCAGACATTACCTGGAGTCTTCCAGAGTTATTATGGTGAGGATTGGGCGTCGGTTCATGCCCCCCATGCAGGAACTGTTGCACATATAATTGTAATGAATTGTAGTGCAATCACAGCCGACCTGGAAGTGAGAAGACCCAATATCTGCTCAGAGATTCCTCCCCAATAGGTCACTGTGCTGGCCGCGCCATACACTCTCCTCCTACACGGAGCAGGCTGCCAGAGTCATACTTACCAGTCTTCGGTGCCTACCCGGATAAACACACAGAGACGAGCCGACCAGGAGGTGCCAACACCCGAGCTTTATTCAGAGGCCATCACAGCAAGGCCAAGCAGGGAGGCCATAGCAAGAGAGCAGGAGCAAAGAGAGAGCGTGCTCCGACCACGACCGTTCCTAAGTACCTACTTAGCCCCTCCTCCTCAGCTCGCCTACTAGTCAATGATTGTAGGGTCAGATACCGGAAGGGGATGTCTGAGTTTAGCGCACCAAGGGAGAGGAAGTGACGCAGGAGGCTAGGACCGGATACAGGAAGGAGGCGTCTGGGATTAGTGCATAGACAAAGAGAGAGCACGTGACCTAGGAAGTCAGGCCCAGATACGGGGAGGAGGTGTCTGGGGTCAGTGCTACACAAAGGGAAGGTACATGACCCAGGAAGTCAGGAAGGACACAGGAAGGAGGCGTCTGGGGTTGATGTTGCACTTAGGGAGGGGACTAAGCAAAGGGAACTCATCCTCTGCCGCCCCACTCCCACGTGGCACAGCCCCCTGCCTCAGGAGCACGAGCTCTGGCTACTTCCTTGTATTCTGTTCCTTCCCCAGCTTCATAGCACTGCCCACTGCCTCAGGAGCGTGAGCTCCGGTTACTTCTCCGTATCCAGCCCCCACAACTCCGCCTAGCACAGCCCCTGCCTAGGGAGCGTGAGCTCCGGTTACTTCCTAATACCCAGTTCCTACCCCATCTTGCCACAACGCCCACTTGGCAGTAGCCAACATCAGACAGTCCCTCACAGGTCACCACTGCTGAGCGCCCCTAACCCCTGGAGACGCAGGTGTCCTGAACCATACCTCTGGGGACTCATAAGGAATGGACACACTCTGTCGCATGGTGGTGGCATCATTGAGGTATTCAGCCCGTAGGTTTCCTTCCACTCGGATCAGGTGCTGTGGGGGTGCCAGGGCTACAGGGCAGGTGGGAAAAAGTATTAGGAGGGTCAAAGCTGAGGAATGCTAGTTCCTCCTCCACTCCCTGCCTTTCCCATGTTGGAGGGTCTCCGGTCTCACCATCTATGTGCTCGGTGCACCGTTCATGGTGGGGACAGCGTTTAACTACTTCAGTCATGTGTTCTGACTTCTTATAAATAGCCATAGCTCGAACTCGGGAACCAGCAGGTGGTGGTGAAGTGACCCAGAGCTGGACAGGGCAGGTTTTGGCCAGCTGGCAAAATAGCTTGTTCAGCTCAGGAGAGTACTGTGGGGAAAGCCAAAGTAAAGCAGAGTCATGGACCAGTCAATTAAATATTTACTGAGTGATCCCTATGTGCAAGAGATACAAAACATGTAAGATAATACCTGCCCTCATGGAGTTTACAGTCTGCTAAGACACAAATAATCTACTACAAGGTGAAGGGCATAAAAGAGATGTGAGAGTCCATGAGGTCACCTCCAGCTGGGTGATCAGAGGTTGGTTCTAGGGAAAAGGTGGCATCTAATTTGGGTTATAAGGGATTCTGAAGGTAGAGATGGGAAGGAAAGGGTCTTCTAGGCAGGGGAAAAAGAATAGATAAAGGTTTTTACAGCAGAAGTAATAAGTATATATGAGGGAAAGAGCTTGGTCAGCAAGAGTATAAACTGTGTGCATGTTCAGAAATAGAAGGAAACAAGCCTCAAAAGGCAGGCTATGCCAGACTAGTATTTTTATCCTTCTAGGGATAAAGAGGGACCCACTGAAGATTTAAAGGGATGAGGTAATCAATCTCATCTGTGAATTAGTAAGATTACTAAGGCAGCAGCGTGAAATATTAAGGATCTATTACAGGAAGGATGGAGATTGCAGCTAAGAAAACAGTAAGGGAGGTTATTATTACAATAGTCCAGGCCAGATATGATCAAGGCTTGAACCAGAGTGGGTGGCTCTGTCAGTCAGCTAAGAGAAGGGGACCGATGGAAGTGATGAGCATGATGTTAGGAGGAAAGGCGAGGTCATCAGTGTCATCATCAACAAATATTTAGTCAGAGCTGAGCCCTGCACTGTGGCAGATATAAAAGTGCTTATTAAAGCACCACTCCTGCATCAGGTGGCCACAGGTCACAAGAGGAGAAGGTGAGATGAGGAGAGGCCGCCTATTCTAGTGAAAGGTTTGATGCTACTGAGAGAGGTACAGATCAAAGCCAGAAGGCGAGATCAAAAGGATATAACAATCACCCAAAATCAAAGGGCTAAAAACCTTTTGGGTCATCCTCCACTCTTTCCTCTCCCTCACATCTACCAAAGGGTCCAGTTCTGTGGATTCTACCTCTGAAAAAGTCAGGGAAGTAATAAAATGAGAGATGATTAAAGGGCAGAGATCAATCCCATCAGAACTCATTAAGCTCTGTCTCTCACTCTCTCTCATCTTCTTTTTCTCCCTCCTTCCCTCTCATTTTCTCCCCCCCCCCCCTCTTTTTTTTCTCCCCCCCCCCCCCCCCCCCCCCAAATTCCCTACTGACCGTGCAGGTGACAGACTTGGCTGTTCCGGAGTGCAGAAAACCAAGCTTGAAGCCATACTCCCCAGGATAGTCCTTTCGGGATGGAACAGTAGACGATGTGGGCAGGTTAACTGGAGGTGCAGGCACTTGAAACCCAGGGTTTTCTTCCTCATTTCTCAGCCAGTTTATATCGTCTGCTGAGGCAAATTGTATATCATCTATGTTCTAGGGGTGAATGGAGAGAGGACAGGGAGATCAGAAAGTCAATCAGAGTAACCCAGGTTTCCCCCCCCATTCTGGTCCCTTTGTTCCTCCTGCCTCCCACCAAGTTCATACCGATAAATCATCTGGCATATTGTTCCACTGTCTGAAAGGCAAGAAAGAAATAGCTGAAATCGTTTTCATCGTTTGTCATTCATGTTGGGGGGTGGGGGTAGGGGAGAATTGGAAGAGACACGGGACAACTGGACACACAGCCTAACAATAAGGTGAACAGTGGATAGAACTGGTGCCGCTGTTCGGGCAAGTCATCCACCTCTCCGAGTCTCAGTTCACACGTCCCCAAAAAGGAAAGGGCTGAGACTCTAGGGTTCCTTCTAACTCTCAACTCATCCACCTATGATGAGGGAGCCAGAGAGAGAACTTACTGACATTTATTAAAAAGACTCACGGTTGATAAGTAAGTAATGTTGGGAATTTCACACCCTACCCCTCACTCACAAATTCCATATGTCTGAGAAGGTTTCCTGGCTCAGTGGGGGCTCCAGATCTGACAGGGATTCCTCCATGATAGGCCTCAGGAAGGCAGTTTTGTGACTGGCAGGTTGGTGATGGTAGTGGTGGGGCTGGAGAAAAGGAAGGGACAGAAAAGATACTATTAGGCCCAACCCTGCCCCTTTGTACCCTGTAGTTTCCTGAGGTTAGAGCTTTAAGACAGTAGGCTGGCCTTTCCTAGTACATGCTACTGTACCTCCTCCCTCTTCTTTCTTTCGGTATCATACTGAATATTCTGGATTTGACAGAAAAGAAAAATGTGTTGATATACAGCTGGAATCCTTAACTGAGCTACAGGTTAGAGATACATCTGAGTAGACATAATCAACTGCTAAGGGACTGCTGGACCTGGTTATAAACTCCTTATCTCTGCCCAAGTCTCCCTACCCCTTTTCTTAACTTCCCCATTATCACTGAGAGTACTACCATCCTCCCAGTCACCAAGGTGTCATCCTTCAACTCTCTTACACCCCATATCCAATCAGTTGTCACATCCCATCGTTTCTACCCTTGTAACGTCTCTACTGTATGCTCTCTTCTCTCCTGACTGTACTACTGAAATATTTTGACGGCTAGCGATCTCCCAGCCTTATCTCTCCCCACTTCAAGCCACTCAAATTGATCTTCCTAAAATGCAGGCTTGACCATATACCACATCCCATTCAATAAACTCCCCCGTGGCTCCCTATGACTTCGAGGGATCAATTATAAAATCCTCTGTTTGGCCTTTAAAGCCCTTTATAACTTTGCTTCTTCCTACCTTTCCAGTATTCTTAAACTTTATTCCTCCTCTCCAGGTCCTTGACAGTCCAGTGACACTGGCCTCCTTGCTATTCTTTTATCAGCCACCCCATGGTGTCCCCCATGCCTGTCAAGCTCTTTCTTCATCTCTGCCTCTTACCTCCCCGCTACCTTCAAATCTCAGCTAATGTCCCACCTTCTGCAAGAAGCCTCTGCCAGTCCTCCTTAATCCTCCTTCCCTCTGAGACTACCCCAATTCATCCTGTATATATCTTGTCTACACATTATTGTTTGCATGTTGCTTCCCGCCTTAAACTATGAGCTCTTCGAAAGCAGGGGCTGTTTTTTGACTTTCTTTGTATCCCCAGTGCTTAGCACAGTGCCTATTACACCTCAGGCATTTAATAAGTGCTAGTTGAGGGGCAGCTAGATGGCACAGTAGATAGAGCATCAGCCCTGGATTCAGGAAGACCTGAGCTCAAATCCAGCCTCAGACACAAAACACTTACTAGCTGTGTGACCCTTGGCAAGTCACTTAACCCCACTGCCTAGCCAAAAAAAAAAAAAAAAAAAAAGGGCTAGTCGATTATGACTATGAATTACCTAATATGCTCATTAAACCAACCTCCTCTGTGTCAGATTTGTGCTTTCAATAAATACACATTATGTATCTATTAGGCACAAAGTCTAGATGAGTGAGAATCCATCCCTGTCCACAGAGAGCCTCTACTCACTAATGTGACAGTCCACACAGAGAATAATAGTAACATATAATAACTACAATAACGACAAGCATATCTGAGAGTGGAAAGGCAAAGTGCTATGTGAGGTATGATGCAATTAAACACTATAGCTTCAAAATGTTCAGGTTTATCATATATTTTTCGAACACCCTTTCTTATGCCCCCAATTCTTGACTAATTAGCTGTGCTTCTGATCTTTCTCCTTATAAACCAACATTGTTAGATACCTTTGCTAGGAAATGTCCTGGGTCTATGCCTACATGAACTGATGATACAAATTTCAAAAAAACTGTTAAAGGGTTAGAGATTTCCATGGGGGTGATGAGTAATTTTTTTGGGGTATCATTTCAAAAAAATATAAAATTTTTTAAAATGACACATCTTAAACTTAATAATTTACTGTAAATTCATTTTTTTCCCCCTGCATTAAAATTTTGATGATGAAATATTGTGTCATGTAACCATATAGTATCATATTGTAGAGAAGTCATTATGCATGCTGGACTTATTATTGTTCTCGAAGAGGACCTGGACATTAGAGAAGTGATGTTATAACATGCAAGTGAATTGGATTTAAGTGAGAGAGGCCTGTGCAAAGTCACCAGCCTCACTCTCCCCACCAGAGTCATCTGCATCAGAGAAACCTCAGAAGACTCGGATGAACTGATATAGAGCAGAACCAGGAGAACAAAAGGGTTTTGTTTTCCTTATATCCCCCCCAGTAAGAGTAGGGGAGGTAGAAGAGAGAAAAAAAATGCTTATTAATTTTTTTAAAATTACAGTAAAAAAAAATTGAGCCTAGCAGATAGGTCTATACCACAAAAAGTTTATTACCCTCCTAAACTATCTGTAGTCACCCTAACTCTTGGGATTTCCATTGCTGGGAATTGCTTCTCTTTTTTTTCTTTAAAGGCAATTGGGGTTAAGTGACTTGCCCAGGGTCACACTGCTAGTAAGTGTCCAAGTGTTTGGTCTGAGGCTGGATTTGAACTCAGGTCTCCTTGACTTCAGAGCTGGTGCTCTATCCACTGCACCACCTAGCTGCCCCTAGGAATTGCTTCTCTTACTGCACTTGGGATAAGCTCTGTGAAACTGATGGGCCGGTTTCTCTGTGAAGTTGCTCCTTGTGCAGTGGGGAGATCTTGATCATAGGATCATTGATCTACAGCTGGAAGGTACTTTGAAGATGCCAATAGTTCAGTCCCTTCATTTTACTTTCTCCAGGCCACACATGTAGGAAATATAAATACCTTGTAGTCAAGTCAACATTTTATAAGGTCTGAATATATCTCAGATGAAGTGCTGAGTGCTGGAAATAGAAAGAAAGGCTCCCCCCCCCCCCAAAAAAAACCCAAAGGGTGACAACATGCAAATAACCATGTACAAATAAGATACATACAAGATAAATTGGAGAAGGTACTAAGATTAAGGAGGATCAGATAAGGCTTCTTGCAGAAGCTTTAGCTGAGATTTGAGGAATAGATTTTTAATGTTTTCATTTGTTGTCGATCTGAAGGGCATGAGGTAGAAGCTCAGAGTTATTTTATTATTAGTAACTTGGAACTTTTTTTTTCCATACAGTTCATAGTTTGCCTTTATTTTCAGAACTGCCTTTCAATATTTTTTGACCATCTGACCCAACAATATTTTAACTGCTAAATCCGATGGCTTTTTCTCAGTCCCCATGATACTAAAATCTCTCTGTAGTTTTTGCCAGTTGAATACCCTTCCACCTGGATACTTCCTCCTCCTCTGGCTTCTGTAACACTGTTCTCTCATTCTGTTCCTATTTGCCAGACCATTTCTTTTCAGTCTCCTATGCTGAATCCCAAAGGCACTGTCCGGGTCTCACACCTAGATTGTTGCAACAGAATTACTCTCCCTGCTTTAAGTCTTTTCCCTGCTCCAGTCCATCCTCCCTACAACTGTTAAAGAGATTTTCCTTAGACACAAATCTTACTGTGTGATTCCCAGTAAACTCCAGCTTCTCTGTTTGGCTTGAAATTCCTATACCGCCTGGCCCCAATCTATCTTTCCAGCTTTACTATATAATATTCTTCTTCCTGAACTCCATGATCCAGCTGAATTGGCCTTCTTTCTGTTCTTTCTTTTTCACACAACATTCCATTTCCCATCTCTGTAGCTATGTACTGGTCAACTTTAGTGCCTGGCTGTGCCCTTTTTTCACTTGTTCGTTTAAGTTACAGTTCAAGCACTACTTTCTGAAGCCTCTCCTTATTTCCCTAACTGCTAGCGCCATCCCTCTCTTTTATTTAACTCCTTTGTATTTATTCTCCTTATATTTATTCTGCATACATAGGATTTAATCTCTAATTGCTCAAAACTGCACTGAGACATTTGGGTCACCCTTGTTGTCACTTCAGGTCTCATGTCCAAGTGGGCATTGTTTTATATTTTGTATTTGCATCCCCAGTACCTGGCATATAACAGGTGCCTAACGAATGGTTCTTGATTGATTGTTAATTTGTTTCTTTATTTCCCAAACTCCAATTTGGAATTACCAACTACCTTCTGGAAATTTCTACTTCACTATCTCACAGGCATCAAAAACTCAACAACATGTTCAAAACAGGATTTATTATATTTCCAGAACCCTGTCTCTTTCCAGGGCACCCCTATTCTTCCTCTTAACCTCCACATCCAACTAGTTGCCAGGCCTCACCAGTTCTGTCACATCAGTCAGGTATCATCCTATTTCAGGCTCATGTCTCACCTGGACTATTTCTGTAGCCTCCTAATTGCTCTCCCAGCCTCTAAGTCTAGCTAGTTTGTCTTTCACATGGCTGCCAAATTACTCCAAAAACACAGAGTTGACCACACCACTCTCTTAGTAAGTAAAAAAAACAAAACACAAAAACTCCTGTGGTTTCCTGTTGTCTCTAGAATAAGATACAAACTTCTCCAAAGCGCTCTACCACCTATCTCTCACCTACTTATCCAGCCTTTTTTTACCTTTCTATTATTCCCCCTGCAGATATTCTCCTGTCCAGTCAAACTGGCTGAGTGTTCCTTCTCCATGTGATTCCATTTCTTGACCCTCTGCCTTTGTCTAGGCTGTGCTTCATGTCTGAAACACCCTCCTTCCTTGTGTCCCCTTCTGAGAATCTCTAGATTCTTTCAAAGCAGAACTCTAGTGTCACCTTCTACAGGGGATCTTTACTGATTTACCCTTATTAGTGATGCTTTCTGCTGCTTAAAGATTTACAAATAAGAAAAAGCAAAGTCATTTTACTCTGTATTTAATTATCCGTGTATCTTTCCTTAGCACAGTGGCCTGCATATAGTAAGTGACTAATAAATATTTGTTGAATTGAACTGAATGTCATTCTTCTACTATTTTTTCATGTACTTCAGTCAAATTAAACCATTCAACCTTCTTGGGTTTCCCTGAGGGTATCCTAGCCCCTCTAAAAATCCTACAACATTATTCTTTGCTTATATAAATTACAATTTTCCCCTTTCACCCACTGCACTGTAAACTCCATGATGCAGGCACTGTGTTTTATCTGAATTTGTCTAGCACAGTTCTCCATATACAGTAAGCAGTTAATGTTTGTTGAGTGAATTTATAAAGCGGCTCCTGTGTATATTGCAGTCTTTCAAAGCTTTAACAACGGTCTTTGTTATTTTTATCTCTTTATGTACACGTCCTACCTTACTGAATGGTTAAGAGTAGAGACAATATCATGTCCTACTTTGTATCCCCAGGACTTTGTGCTAGACCCGAACCTCTGCAGATGGCAGGCTTTCTTCCTTTTCTTTTTTTTTTTTGTATAACAAATTTATATTATTTTCAATTCATGAAACAAAACAAACATTTCCATAACATAGTACAATAAAAAAGATGATTGCACATGAAACTGCTAATCTACCGTACAATGTGCTATTCTCTCCAAATATACAACAAAGTTATCATGTAAATTTTTTTTTTCCCCTTTTTTTCTTCCCTCCCCCTGTCTTTCAATGAATGTTTCTGGATAATAACAGTTTCTTGGAATAGAAGTTGTATGTGTGATAAATACATGGTCAGGAACAATGTCAGTGTTTGATTTTTAGTAAGACATTGACAAATTAGCTGTTTAAAGGAAGGGCCATCCACTTGAATGAATAAGGGTTAAAATGGATCACAGCTGACAGGGACCTTAAAAGTCAGCTAATTCTACCCTGTCATTTTACAGATAAGGAAACCGGGAAGTTAAGTGACCCATCCAACATCACAAAGTAGTTAAATGGCAGAGCTGGGATTTTCACCCTGAGCCTCTCAACTCCAAATCAGTGCTCTCTTTCCACAGTGCCACACTTGACTACAAAGATGTCTGATAAGAAGGGGATTTGACAATAAGTTTAGAATTGCCATGGCTTCCATATCATTCTTCGGCCAGCTTGGTGATGAGCCTCTCCACATTAAGGTAGGCTGATTCTCAGAAAATAAACATATAACACATCTAGGCATGTAGAGGAAGACTTTCTAGTTTGATAGGAACTACCTCCAGAATTTTTGCTATGCTAGCATGTCCTTCATAGGTTCCCTATATTCATTTCCACATTTTGAGGAGGTGGCATTGGAGAAGAACTTCAGGGGGAAATGTTATATAATGGTATTATACAATGAGGTTATTAAGTATTGTAATTCTCCCCCAAAACTACAAACTACACTAATGACTGATGTCATTAGCTGTAGAAGAAGCCTTACAAGCATTTTAAAATTACTGACACTTGTCGTAGAACATTTTAGGATTGAACTGGTTTTGAAAAAAAAAAAAAAAAAAATTGAGTCCATCTTCCATCCATCTTCCCCAATAAACTTCCCAGAGCATAATAGCCAATAACAAGAGGCAGCCTGGTGTCAGAACTGGAGTCAGAAGGCCTAGTTTGAATTTTAGCTTTTAATATTTATTAATACTGTCCCTAAGGGAAATCATTTACTCTGTCTAGTGCCAAACTTGATCATTTGCACATTTTAGGGACTCAATTACTAATTACATGTAACAAAATGTAAGTCCATTGTCAAGGGAAGTAGTTTATATATATATATATATATATAATACCCCTTGCATTGGCAATATATATGTATCCTGAAATTAATAGTGACATCCTACTCTAGAATTTCTGGTCCTTTTTCTACTTTCTTTCCATTTATACATGTTCCTTTCTTTCCTTTACTTTCTGGTTTATCCCTACCCTCATCTCCTTTTTAAAAAAATTGCTTTATTGATGATTTTTATTTTTTCTTTGATAGTAGCTTCCTAATAATCTTCTCCTCCCACTCCAAATCCCACATTAAATCCTTCTGCGTAACAAGAAAAAATGTTAAGCAAAACAAAACCTCTACAGTGCCTGTGTTTAACATCATGTGCAACACTCTATACCCCTAGTTCACCATTTGTCTACCAAGAGGAGGAGGAGTTTCATCATTGGTCCTGTGGAATTGGTATTGCGAATTCAATTTAATATGAATTTTGATGTAGGTTTGTGTTGTTTCTCTTTACATTATGTTAGTCAATTTGTATATTGTTCTTGTGGTTCACTGGGCCTTACCAGCTGCTCTACTATGCCCTACCCCCATAACCCATGATGGCATTCAGAAGAGAACTCCATTTCATTATTTCCCATAATTTGCTAAGCTATACTCAAACTGATAGGCGCCCCCTTAGTTTCCAATTCTTTGCAACCCAAAAAACGTCACTAAAACTATTTTTGTATAGATGAATTCCTGTTCTCTTTGCTTTATCTCTTTGCGGTACAGGACTAGAAATGAACTGCATGGGATTTTTTTGGTGGTGCTTTTTTTTTTTTTGGCAAGACTCTTAACCCAGGCTCAGCGACTGGCTTCCCGGGAACGCCCCTTTTCACTGTGGTACACAGTCTCCCATCCCCAGACCAGGAAGACCGGAACGTACCACCCAGCTCCGGGGGGGAGGGGGAAGAAGAGGATCGCCTCCCCTCTCATTGGCAAAGGTCGAGTCCACTCTCGGCTAAATTACTCCGAGAGCGGCACATACCATTCTACGAGGGGTAGAAAGGTATTTGAAAACAAGAAATACTTCCTCTTTCTTTCCATAATGAATCCTTCCTCTCCAAAAAACAAAAAACCAACCCCCTATCTCACGACTGAAAAAGTAATGAATTTTTCTTTTTCGTGAGTTGAGTAACTGTCTACTGTATATTCTTGTCTACCCTCCACAGGCAGCCTTGATCTAACCTGGGTTAATCCAAAACAGGAAATGCAAGATGGGGGGAGGCGAAAGGGAGGAAACACAATCTGAGCCTCAAAGGCAACAGACTCGGAGAATTTTGGGCACAACAGGGATACTGAGTTCTCCAAGGAAATGGGTGGGTTGGGGGCTCGTAACTAATAACGTTCGGATTTATTTGGACTTACTCCCATCCCCTTCCCCCCCCCCCCCCCCGCAGGAGCGCCATAGTCCATCCCGCTCACCTCAGTCCCCCCCTCCCTAGCTGTATTTCCTGAAGGCAATGGTTCCCCAGACCAGTGAAGAATATCTTTCCCACCTCCTAGGACAAAGGGTCGCCCGAAAGTCGGTCCTTGCTTCCTACAGCTCAAGGGGCTTTACCCGCAGAGCCTGGGAATGTAAGCTCTAGGCCTTCCTACCCCTTCCGGGAGTGGACCGTCTCGGCCCCGAAACGCGGAGCCATCCCCCTCTCCCGTAATGCACCCCTTTGGAAAGCCCCGGCCGTAGACACGCTAATGTTCCTATTAACTTAGGGGAAAATGGTAGCTCAAAAGTCCTCAGGATCTTCCGTCTGACCATTCACAAAGCATCCCCTCTCCCCATCCTCGGGGCTTGGCCTGGATAGAGAGGCTAGTGCGTGAACCCCCCCCAGGGAGCGTGGACAGTGTGGGGGAGCAAAGGGGGCCCATCCACTCAGGCACAGCCACTCCTCGTAGTCCCCTCCTCAGCCCTTCACTGGCCGGGGAAACCCCATTCCCCACCCCCACTTTCCAATTATTCCAACCTCCAAAACCCGCATCGCCCCGGGCTGGTACTATAACCACTCCCAGAATTGCCCTGGACAGTTAGCCTTAACAGGGGCAACTCCGCCTAGCCCACCAAACTAAGGAGAACTGCTACCTGGAGAAGGGCCCCGGAGAGGCCAGGGATCCCCTACCTGCTCTCTCGACCACGGCTTCCAACTTTGAGTGGTATAAACTTACCGCCAGCCTGTGGACACGCGACTGGAAAACCCCAATCCCAGCAGCCCCAGCGAGGCTGCTGGCAGGAAGCCGGGCAGGCGCCATGGCAAGTGAGGGCAGCCGCGGAACCGACGCCGATTGTTCACTGGTTAGTTCCAGGGAGTTGTTAATGATCCCAGGGACTCGGTCCAGTTCAATTCCCTTCTTTTCCTGTTGAGGAACTAGGTCCGGACAGGTCAAGCGATCGAGACTCAGGAGTCTATTCAATTTAGACCCCAAGCCCCACATATTTTATTTTATATCTTGGATTATTATTCTCCCTACAACAACCCCGTAATACTAATTAACAACAACAATAATCATGGTAGCTAACATTTGTATAGCGATTACAGTGTGTGCCAGGTGCTGGCACATATCTCATTCGATCCTCACAGCAACCCCTATTATTCCCATTTTACAGATGAGGAAACCGAGGCCTTAGAGAAGTTAAGTGACTTGCTCAAGATCATTACTGATTTGAACTCAGGTCCTCGGTCCACTTGCACTGCAGTCTCTCCTTTATTCTGTTTGTATTTCTTATCTAGTTATTTGCATATGCTTTGTTTCCTCTCCTTCCAGTAGAATGTAAGCTTCTTGAGGGCAGGAATTTTACCATTTTTCTTTTGATCTCCCAGAGTTTTGCACGTAGGTAATTAGATACAGTTTGTCCAGTTGAATTGAATTGGAACAATAGTCTTTCCAGTGTAACACACCACCTCTCAGACTTGTTTTGTTCTGTCTGGCAGGAGAATGCTAGAAGCAATGACATATACAGATTTCAGTTCAGGATAGGAAAAAAAACCCTGATAATTTCAACTCTTTAAATATGGAATGGGTTGCCTTAAGAGACCGTGGATGGGATCTTAGAGGCTATCTAGTAACAGGATTGTAGATTCAGAGCTGAAAGGATTCTTGGAATTCAACCCCCTCATTTTTCAGATGAGGAATGGGGAGTAAGTGCCAATCACAGTGCTAATCAATAGGGATACAAAGAAAGGCAAAAAAAAAAAAATAAAGTTGTGGTCATCTTTTGTATTTGGTTTTTGCATTTTGTATTTGCATTTGGTAGGAAGAAGTCAAGACTTTGGATATAAGCTTGCTCTGCCCTTTCCCCTTGCTTGGACCCTGATTGTCTCAGAGTGAATGTAAATATCAATTGTTTCTGTTTTGGCCAGAAACCCTGCCAGTCTTCCCCTCCTAGATGGATTTTTTTAGGACTAGGTAAAGAGGCCATTCTCTGCCTCATTTCTTACCCAACCTTAATCACTGAATGAGTGCTGCCTCAGTCAGATTGAGACATTTTAAAGACCTTGGCTTAAAAAGACTAAGGTGCCCCACTTCAGTGCCATCTCCACTCGTCCTGATCTATATCTCACCACGGGATGAATATGGTTGGGGTGGAGAGAGTGAGGCTGGTGACTTTGCACAGCCCTCCCTCACTTAAATCTAATTCACTTGCATGTTATGGCATCACCTCCCTAATGTCATGGTCCTCTTTGAGAAGGAAGGACAAACAACAACAACCTTTTCCCTTTAAGGGACGATGATCAGGAAAGAGGATTGAGCCACTTGGTTTTTAAAAAATGGTTTAAAAAAACCCATTCCCCTAGACTAGCAATATTTAAGGGAGCAGACAGATAGAACTCTAATCTGGTACTCCTCTCTCAGAGGAAAACATCAAAGCCAGCCTCTTGGCCCCTTTTCTTACTCCTCTCCCGGCAAGAATCAAAAGCCTCCTCGGGAGGGAGTGGGCAGGGTTATAGAGATAGTTTTCATGCTTCCCTTGAGTTGGATTTAGCCAAACCATATGGACATACTCATGACCCGTGTGGGCAGCACACATATCCTACATATAGGGGTAAATGCATTCTTTCCACCAATGAGAGTCTTATGCAAACATCCTAGGCTTGAAAATCTGAGTTACAAACCATTTGACAAAGCCAAAGACTTTCCTGGATCTTCAATAGTTGTGATTGCTGAGGAAGTAAGGCAATTAGGTGGCTCAGCAGAGAGAGAGCTGGACCTGGAGTCACGAAGACCTGAGTTCAATTGTGGCCTCACACACGTACTAGCTATGTGACCTTGGGCAAGTCATTTAACCTCTGTTTGCCTTAATCCATTGGAGAAGGAAATGGCAAACCACTCCAGTAACTTTACCAAGAAAACTCCATGACCAGCATGGTCCACAGGGTCATGAAGTATTGGACACAATTAAACAACAAAAGACAATATAATACTTGGGAAGCAGGTGACAGGCCCTATCATCATTAGGGTTTGTTCTTTGGGATGATGGCTTTAGGGGCTGGGCTAGAAGCATGACCAGAGAGGTTCCCCATAAAACGATCCAGGGAGGTGGTAGTAGCCTTGGGTGCAATTGGGTGGCATTGAATAAAAATAAGGGGGCGATAGAAGCATGAGGAAAGAGGAGAAGAGAATTTCGAAAAACCGTTTGTACATGTTTCATTTGTTGTGTAACAAAGTCGTAGTGATTACATTATTTTTCAAATCAACACACAAAATGCAGTTATAACCAATCAGTAGTCAAGTCTGCTCACAGGTCTGAAGTGTTGGCAGGCGAGCTTGTCTGCACGGTCAGGATGTCCAGCATACATCGGGAAGATATTGACTTCTCTACAATACGATATTATATGGTTACACGATATAATATTTCATCATCAAATTTTAATGCAGAAAAAACCCTCAAATTTACAATAAATTATTAAATTTAAGATGTGTCATTTAAAAAATTTTATATTCTTTTAAATGATGCAAATTTCAAAAAAACAAACAACAAAACTGTTAAAGGGTTAAAGATTTCCATGGGGGTGATGAGTAATTTTTTTTTTAAAAGGGTACAGTAGGTCAAATAAGTTTGGGAACCTCTGCTCTAAGAGGAAGAAGCACTACAACTCTGATGCTTTTGGGTCAACTTTCCATTGGTAGGAGTTGGTCATTGGTTGGTGTTGAGGAGGACAGGCCTTTTTACTGTGATTGCTCCCAACAAATGATGGCTATAGAGTAATCTGTGAGGCCCTGCTAATCTCATGGCTCTTAGGTTCAGGGCCCTGAGCTTTCTCCATTGGAGTCTGAAGGGAGACAAAAGTTGAGATTCAATCACCTGGCTGGCACATATCAACTGACTTTCTCAGGGTGCTTTTCTGTTTCAGCTAGGCTGGCTTGCCTTGGATAGCTGGCTGCTTCTTCACAGAAGTGTCCACACTTTTGAGCGTCAGAAGTGGGGATTTGAAAGCAGGTCCTGTGGCATTAGAAGTTGTCAGGCAAAAACTGGATGATTCACTTGTCAGCAATGTTGTAGAGGGGATTCCTGTTTAGTTGCGGGTTGTACAAGGTGGCATCTCAGGTCGCCAATCCAACTGAGATTCTGTGACCTTAGGATATTTCATGCCAAATTAAGTGCTAAATTTCGGTGGAGGCCGAGGATATGAAGACAAGGTTTCTACCCTCTGCTTGCTCCTAGTTTGATCTAATCCCTTATAATTGGGGAAAGAGAGGGAAAGGTACTTGGAGGTTTGGGCCAATGTTTTAACTAGTTGGGACTCGTACATTCTTAAATTGGGAAGGGAATACAACACTAGGTGTAGCTGTAGAGTGCTGCAAAGAGTCAATGTTCTTTTCCCTCCTTCCCATCAGAAAAGAGGCAGAATCAATATCCTACTAGGCCAACTCAGAGGCTGGACTTTCTCCTCTGTCCCCTCCTCTCCTTTCCTCCCCTCCCTCTGTATCTGAGAGAAAGGAGGCTTAACCATAGCTCTAGGCATGCTCAAGTTCTCTGCCACTGGGGTTCCAGCTGAAATCAAAATGAAAACCTGAATTCAGCTAAGTAAAGCTGAGCTAAGTAAATGTCAAGGGAGTATATAGTCTCATCTCAATTGGAAGCAGGAATTTCAGGTACATTGTTACACAGCTACTCAACCCAACACACTTAAAAGTTAAGGCACACAAATGGCATTTCTTGATTGACCACACTTAGTGAGAGAAAAGGCAAAATCACTATAAAGGAAGAGCTAAGTTTATAATGAGAGTACAGATCACAAACACTTGTTGATGTACAAGCAATGGGAATGAGAAGGGAAGTTTTATACTAACAGTTCAGTTTCTCACCATTTGACCAGGAGCTCCTTGAGAGTAGGGACCCTTTTTTCCCCCTCCTCTTTCTTTGTATCCCCAGCACTTAATACCTGGCGCATAGCAGGTCCTCAATAAATGCTTGTTGATTTGACTCTTCTCTGCTAGGCATCTGTAACCTGCAGAACCCAGACTATGTGTCATGGTGGAGATCAATCACTGTAACCCTCTGATAACCATCATTGACTTCCTGTCTACTTTCTCAGGGCCAGGGCCAAGGAATCTATCTATCTCTATTGCTTTTTCTCAGAAATCTTAACCACTGATCTTCCAGCTGCCATCGACACAGCTGGAGCTGGGGAGAGCAAGCCTGGTCACCTCCAGCTCCCTCATAGATTCCCCCTCCCTTTTTTTTTTCCTTTTTTTTCCCCCAAGGCAATCGGGGCTAAGTGACTTGCCCATGGTCACACAGCTAGCGAGTGTCATGTGTCTGAGGCCGGATTTGAACTTAGGTCCTCTTGAGTCCAAGGCCAGAGCTCTATCCACTGTGCCACCTAGCTGCCGTCCCCCCCTTCTTTCAGCTCTGTCTAGTATGAACATCTCCTTCTCCCCCACTGGGCCATAGTCAGACAGCTGAGGGTCCCTGAGCTGCTTCCTGTCTTTTTTTGTACAAAAGAGTCAGCTACGTGTCATTACATGTTTCACTTACATCTCACTATTACCTGTAATTGTGTTATCTCCAAGACCCTGAACACTGAGCTCCTCCCCTCCTCTGTTACCTTTCCCTCATGAATCCTAAACCTATTCTTCATCTTCACTGAAACCTCTAGTCACTTCTCGCCCCTTTCTGTACCCCAGGTTCCACGTATGCTCTGGCCTTATTCCCCGCCCCCCAC